TCTACAAAATCATAAACATTAGGGAGAAAGAGTACAGGGATGAAGTGTTTGTTGTCTCTTCAGTAAAGAACTAAACGCATCAAATTAAGCTAGTAGGAAACAAGTTAAAACACACAAAAGGAGGTGATTCCTTATACAGTGACCTCTGGAACTTGTTGCCAAGTAATTCTGTGGATGCTAAAAAAATTACTTGGGTGTAAGGTGAGATTGGGCAAGAACAGAGAAGAGACATCCATCAAGAGTTATTATGTACATCAAATGCATGCAGCTGGAGTATTAGAGGACACTACTGTATGCAATTGCCTTGTTCTTACTTTCCTGGTAGCCTTCTGCTCATAGTCACAGTTTGAAGCAGGATACTAGGTCAGGTGGATTTTTTGTCTGACTGCGTACAACTGTTATGTTCTTACAGATGCAGCCTGAGTTCTAACGTGGTGCACATGGAACTTCACAGAAACCCAAGCAACTAGTGTATATGGGGTCATTATCCAGTTCCACTAACATGGAAAGGTAGGCGTGGATTCATCTCCCAGTAATAGCCTTTTTAAATCCCAATATTATGTCCTGACAAGAAGCCTTAGGTACAAGGTCTCTACCTCGATATCCATCCAAGTGCATAGGATGTGTCTATGTCAGTCCTGGATAATGGGGCAGTGGAATAAGTGACTCGTCACCCTTCCATTCAGACTATGGTGGAAGTACTACTCCCTCATTTTTTACTAATTCCTCTGCTAAGAGGATGAAAGACAGAAATGGTTCCGGGAGTCTACATGGTCCCAAACAAGGGAAGAGTCAAAGTGAAGTCAAGTGGAGGTGTCAGAAAGAACAGCCAATAATTGTGATAGTGATTCAGCCTACACTCTAAGACACTGTGCCAAGTTCTGTGCTAAAGCACAGTGCTGAGGGAAGTCTTGGCTTTTTGTTGTTAAAAAGAACATGCTGGTACAGATTTGGTAAATACTAGTTTGATGAGTAATAAACTAAACCATCCCTTGAGTTTATCACTGTTTCTGATGATGTGAGCCAGCAGATTCTCTGCTGCACAGTGATCTCTCAAATGCTCTCAGTTTCCCCTAGCAATTAATGAGGGAAAAGAGAATTAAATTACCTTTCAGAAGGAAGGTAAATGGGAGTATGATCCCTTATCAAAAGGATCAATCCACTCATAGAGATTAGTGCTAGGCTCTGGCTGAAGTTGACTGCTTCAGCTTCTGATAATCCTAGCAATCAATGTCTAAGGAAGATGTAACCAACTTCTACTGCTTAGACTCTTTCATATGTATGTTGGGTTTGTAGCCAGGGATACGTCTTTAACCTAAATGGCAATGGCAGTTGGTAAGCAAACCTCTCAGTGTGGTACGAGTATCACTCATAGCGCAGGGCCAATATGGAATCCTTGGAGAGTCCAAAAAGGCATCACCTACAGTGCAGAACAGTTTTGACAGTCTAAAAACCAAGAGTGCCTGGAAAGAAGGAGGAAAGCAGGCCGTTCCAACCCACCGGGAGGCTGTAAAGAACAGAGGAGGCTCTGGCTGTAGCCTGCCCTCTGTGTCAGCGTTCAGTGTCAGCCACTCCTGCAGGTATAGTCCGAGCAATCCCGACCACACACGTTCAGGACTGTGTCCCTTGCAAAAACACAGCAGCAGGTTGCTTATTTTTACAGTGAGCACCAGGAGGCCACCCAACTCTAATCATCAGAGATTCTGCCCTGGAATCAGCTCCTTCCTCAGCCTGCTCACGCTCTT